AAATATGCAATTTATTAATGCTTTTTATGACTTTATGGTACGTTTCAAAAGTCACAATTATTAATTAATAACCTACCTTTCTTTGATTTACTCTATTTTGATGCTTTTATGATATGTTTCACTTATTGAGGATATTTAAAAATAGTCAAACAACGGCCTTCCATTCTTTGATTAATCAACTTTTTTTTAATTTTATGATATTTTTAAATTGTTGATGTATAATAAAAAATAATTTTCCATTTTTTGATTCATCAATCAAATTTTGATACAATTTATGAAAATTAATCAAAGTAACAACCTTCCCATCCTTGGCGTAGTGTAGTTCCATTACATGCTGATTGGATAAATGCCAAAGAGAAACAAATTAGTATTCCTTGCGTTCTTATAGTAAAAACTGTAAAAAAAAAATGGACAAGTGAGTAAAAACAAATTACTAATTTACTAGTAGTAATTTTGTCTGCCCAATAACATTAAAAGAGATACTCCTACCTTTTTATGCTTGAATTGAGTAGTGGATTATCAAAACTTATATTCCCGTCATATTTTTAAGTTTTGTGCACTAGTCACTTATAGATCTTTCTTTCTTTCTTTTTTTCTTTTTCGATAAGGGGTGGCATTTATAATTTTTTTTTATTTCATTAGATTAACAGAGGCGGATTTAGGATTTTTAAAACATGGGTGCACCACTGAAAAAAAAGAAAAAAAATACTAAATGAGAATTGGTCTTTATTCCTTTGGGTAAATAACTCAATATTCAATCAAGTGCATCATTCAGGCCTTGTGGAGCATGGATGCCAACAAATAGTATTGGACTAATTCTAGAAAATACATACATAAAATACCTAATTTGTCGGAGAGACCATGAGTTCACGTGCCCCATAAACTAACCTATACATCCGCCTCTGCAGATTAATCTTAGCTTATCTATATTATTATAAAAGCATGAATACAATGTTGTTTACAAAAATAACATTATAATATTAATAATAATAACTCATCATAAAAGGATATAACCGGAATTTTAGATATTAGTCTTATAATCATATTAGTTTTTGGACATAATACTACACATTTAGAAAAAAGAGAGCCTTTATTATTATAAAAGTATAAATACAATATTAATATACCAAAATAGCCCTAAAATATTAAACGGAAGAACTCATAGAGAAAGGATAACTGCAATAATCTAATTTTTGGATTACAATACCTTCTATGCTAATTTTTAATATTTAGGATTTTAAAATCAATAAAATTTTATCTATTAAATTGTTATTAAAAATATGTAGGAAGGTTTAATAAAATCAATTTCATAAGAATATCGAAACTACTCTATAAATCAATCTTTTTGTTTTAATTTGCGAAATATCGAAACTACTCTATAACTCTTCAAATTCTTTTTTTTTAATACTCCATACGGGAAACATAAGGGAATAGAAGAAGGAACAAAAGGAAAGAAATAATGAGAATTAGAGTCACTTATTATTGGGATTTCGGTCAGTACAATTAAACTATAAGCCTTCGTGATTAAATAATCTATATCTATATCTATATCCATATCTATATCTATATTCATATCTATATTTATATTTATATCTATCTATATCTATATCTATATTTTCTATATTTATTATAAAAGCATGAATACAATGTTGTTTACAAAAATAACATTATAATATTAATAATAATAACTCATCATAAAAGGATATAACCGGAATTTTAGATATTAGTCTTATAATCATATTAGTTTTTGGACATAATACTACACATTTAGAAAAAAGAGAGCCTTTATTATTATAAAAGTATAAATACAATATTAATATACCAAAATAGCCCTAAAATATTAAACGGAAGAACTCATAGAGAAAGGATAACTGCAATAATCTAATTTTTGGATTACAATACCTTCTATGCTAATTTTTAATATTTAGGATTTTAAAATCAATAAAATTTTATCTATTAAATTGTTATTAAAAATATGTAGGAAGGTTTAATAAAATCAATTTCATAAGAATCCTCTATATTGGCAATACATTACCACTCTATAATGCCCAATACCAAGAAAAAATAAAAGTAATATTAAATGGACTGCATAAAGAGTTGAAAATGAAAAAACAGAATACCCCCACGATAATATATTTTTATATTATTTTAAACTATTTTACTACTCAAATAATATTTTTTTAATTAATTTTTTGTGTAATATTAAAAAATACTCAATTATTAAACAACAACTAAGAAAATATTTACGAATATAAATGTGTGAGAAAGAGAAAAAAATGGTTGTAAGAGTCAATACCACTAATGATTCTAGAGACATAAATATCTAAAAGTGAAATGTCATATCAATCTTTTACTCTTTAAAAATAAAATTTATGGTGGATAAAATTATAATTAAGATTAAATATTCAAAACAAGAGATGAAGTAATATTAAGATCTGAATCAACATAGAATAAATTATTTTATATGTTAAAAGCAAATAATTAAATTTTTTAATTAATTATTTAGCAAGAGAATCTCATTCAATTATTTTTTAAATTCATCACATGAGTAAAAATTCTTATTCAAGTAGAAAATAAAATCTTAAGGTACATAAATTTATTCCACAAAAAGAGAGTTAAAACACAAAGTAAAAAGGTTAGTATATCAATAAGAATCAAAATGTTATACAAGTGTCCGAGGGAATACAATCAAAGTTAAATACTAAACAAGAACAAGCTTTCAAGACTATATTATAAAGAGTCGACTTTGCTATAATAGGATTATTCTTTGTAGATGCCTCCGCGAAATCAAAATAATATTTCTATGTCATGCATTACTTGCAAATATCATATCAAGAGGCATGACCCTGTTAGCAATAATAGTAAGTGGTATCACAACTATATCAAAGTAGAACAATTGTGCTAAATTTATAAGGAAAGCAAAATTGATAATATGGATGAAGCACTTATGGCCAAGTATCAAACGATCGAAATAATTGCTCGGAGTTCTAGAGATATATTGGATATTAATGAATCGTTTGATGAAAAATTAATGATTTGTGAGGTAATTTATGGCAAGAACTACCAGTGTTCTAAAATCGACAAAAGCAGAGACTATAAAAGATAACTTACCAAAGTTATACTTCTGGCAAATAAAAAATATTCAAATGACAAAAAATATAAAGTAAGAACAGATATAGTATTCAATGTCTTCTTGTTTCATGTCGGAAACGAAGAAGAGCATCTAATAAAAGATGATTTGGTTCTTCTTGAATATTGGTTAACAATCCCAATGGTAATAGTGGTGCATTTAATAAGATATATATTTCTATCATTAGATTAAAACGTAATTTGTGCAAATCGCATGATAGAATTAAAAAGATATCTTAGCTACCAGAAATGAATATGTTGATCAGCTAAATAAAAGGTTGATTGCAAACTTTTATAGTAAAAACAAAATATTTTTTTGTTTTTGACTCAGCAGAAAATGATACCAATAATTACTACCAAAAAGAATACTTAAATACTTTAATACCAAATGGCCTTCTATGATACATGTTTGTTATCAAGTTTATTATTTCTTACATGCGTTACCGTATATATAATAGACTAAGTTTAAATTGATCTTTCATTGTATATAGGTTGATTTTGAAGAAAAATATGTCATGCTACTGAAAAACTTAGATACACCGCATAGCTTATGTAATAGCACACAGATGGTATATAGAAATTTTGACAATAACGTCATATATGATACTGGTCAATGTACTTCTAAGTATATTCTTATCCCTGAATTCAACTTTCGTCTTTCCAAACTAAGGAATATCCTTTTACATTTGTGTAAAAATAATTTTTAGTGTGTTTATTTTTGCAAATATAATAAATAAAGCACAAGGGTAAACATCCTAAATATTGGATTATATTTACCGGAATATATTTTCTTACACGAACAACTGTATGTTGCACTTTCAAGAGAGATATCAAGATCGACAACAAGAGTTCCGGTTAAGGCAGAAACATACACAAAAAAATATTGTCCACAAAGAAGTGTTCGTTAAGATACCATCACATTAAATACTTTTAAACAATAATACATAATTATCTAACTAACATGATAAAATTGATCATTTGTTTAAGTTTTGACGATGTCCTTTTATTTTAAACTCACGTTTTATGCTAATATAATAATATTTTCGGTATTTAGATGATTGTTGTATTATTATACATAAATTTTCTCTCATTAATTAAATTTTATTGTTCTTTCATATAAATAAATATTAAATCACCACATGTCATTATTAACGTGCAACGCACGTTTATAGATACTGGTTATAATAATATGTGACTATCCATAGCAAGTTTAATATGATAACTTAAAAGATTATTATATTTTTTATTTATTAAAAAAATAATAGATCTTTATATTTAAAAATAATTTAACGTTTCGAAGAAATAATAATAAACAAACTGCTTTATAAACTGTGGGCCAAAGATAGGGACGACTTTGTTATGTCCTCATGGGAGAGGGACTGGAGTTTTGGTGAGTTTGATGAAGTGCTATAACTGTGTAAATATTTATTATTCTATTGTCACAATGTACGTGACAGTATTCGGATTTTAAGAGTGAAATGAGTTATTTTCTTATCGTAATTTTTTTATATTTCTTTTAAATATTGTAAACTATTAATTATTTTGATTTATAATATTTTTTACATGATTTTTAAATATATAAATTTCATTTCAAATACTTAAAAAATTTACTTCTAAATACAGAATTAAAATAAAAAAATTGTACTCTTGAAAAGAAAAAAGTATTACATAAATTGGAGCAGAAAGAATACTTGTTTTAAGTTACAAATATTGAAAATAATTTTTTGCTTCTAAAACTTCGTCCAATCAAATATACAATAGATATTTTCTCCAGTCTCTTTTTTGTTAGAAAAATAAGGTAGTGGACCCTGCCGAAGACACTTCTACCGACCCGCATTCTGAATTCAGGTCTATAAATATCCCTTTGACCCTTCTATTTTGCTCCTACTCTTCTCCGTTGCCAGCTCAATTTTGGAGAGAGAGAACCCAAAAACACGATAGTAATTTGTTACTTCTCTCTCTCCGTTACCTTTCTTCCGTTCATCGTCATCGGACCTATAATTGGATCGAATCGGGTCAAAGCTGTTTTTATCAAAATGGATACATATTGTTCGGACTGCAAACGGAACACGGAGGTAGTATTCGACCACGCCGCCGGCGATACGGTTTGCTCGGAGTGTGGGCTGGTATTGGAATCCCGTTCAATCGATGAGACATCTGAGTGGCGTACTTTTGCCGATGAATCCGGTGATCATGACCCGAATCGTGTTGGTGGACCCGTTAACCCGTTACTTGGCGATGCGGGCCTTTCAACTGTTATTTCTAAAGGGCCTAATGGTAGTAATGGGGATGGTTCGCTTGCTCGGTTGCAGAATCGGGGCGGTGATCCTGATAGAGCCATTGTTATAGCTTTTAAGGCCATTGCTACTATGGCTGATAGGTCTGTTAGTTACCTGTTGCTTTTATTTACTTGGTGGTGAAACCCTAATGCTTATTATTATAATAGTATTTTTTTTTATATTATTGGCCTGAGATGAGCTAATATGAAGTAACATAGTCAGTGAAGATTTATGACCCCAACTTGGTTAGGACTGAAGCAGCCTTTATGAAGACTTAGTCGTATTGTTGCGCTTATGTTAGGTTATGTACTTGATATTTGTATGTTTGTGTAGAAACTAGAAACAAGAGTGAATTTAAGAAATTTTATAATTAATTATTTTTTAAACGAATTGAGCTTGAATTGGATTGGATATGGAGGATATATGCAGCTTAATCCAACTAGTTTTGGATTGAGGTGTAGTAGTCGTAGGTTGGAAGATGAAAAGAGCTTATTCTTTATCTAAGACGAGTCCAGGATTTGAACTTTATGGGTTCGAGTTCAGGATTTTACCACATCCCATTTGATTTACTGGGTTCAGAATCTATTTTTCATTTAATCTAGTGGTTAACACATATATAGAGTTTGAGTCAGAACCCATGGCTAATTTTATCCTTGATCAGACTTCAGGGCTTGTGTGATGTTGGCTATTGGGATCAAATAGGTTTATCTTAGAGAATCTGGTAATGAAATTGCACATGTTAGAATGTGGTTAATAAAACTGGACTTCCTCCATTAAGCTTTTTGGATGGAAGACATTCGTGGATGACACATAAATTCACAATTTGATTGTTTTGGTGCTGTAATTACTCAAATTGTTTGAGATGGCATTTATGTTAGCTTTGTGTTACAACTGTATTTGAATTGATAATACTGGTTTAGGAGATAACTTATTAAGATTGCTAGAAGGACATGAGTAATGATGCTGACCAGTTGTATCTGTGCCTTTGTAGAAAACATTATTGAGATGTTTAGGAGTCATTAAATGTTTGAACTAGTTTTGTGCGTGTTAATGTTGTATGCTTCGTTCTAGTTTTTGTAAGGTTGGTAATTTTGTATCAATTGATTGAGCTGAGTTTTTCCTCCCTTTTTACAGGTTGAGCCTTGTTTCTACTATAAGGGTATGTTCTTTAGTACTCTTTTAAGTTAATTGGGCATCAGACATGGAAATATTCTTGGAAATAATACTAATTTTCAATAAAAGTGTTTCTGAGAATTTGTGTTGCATCTTTCTTAGTTTGCTGCTTCTTTCCCACATAATAGGATTATAAACTTTCCTCACACTGTGGGGGCTTCACTTTGAATGAAAAATGTAAAATCATTCACTTTCCTGATAATGACTACATATAGTGAACTAAACAATATGGGCTGACACTAAAAGTTGGACACACGCTTTGGTTATCCAAAGTGGTTTGTTTGTCCAACCTTGACTAACTGCCATGTTATGAATTATTCTTCTTGTCTTGTTGTTCCCTGGATGAAGCATTATAGGGATGCACTTTTTATAACATTCATCGAACCTTAGATTTGGTGACTTGGTCTTGCGTGTACAGAATTGTTTGTTAAACATCTGTAGTAACTCATGCATCACATCTTTGATTAAACAATGGGGAATTCATAGAAGTTGAAGTGTAGCATCTGCAACAGAAGATAATGACAGCAATCTTCAGAATTGCATGCATGTTGCTTGTTTGCGGTTAGCTGTATTATTTTTTTTTTTGAAAAATGACTTTCTGTGAGTAATAAGTCATTTTTGTGATTCTGAATGGCTGATTTAGCGGAGCGATTTGTTTCATGCGATTCTCCTGCTTGTGCATATCAGATAGGTTTCTTTTTTTTTCATACAAGAAAAATAGTTTGTGAATTTGTGTTGGTCATAGGGACAAAATGGGGATCTGTTATGAGCGATGAAAGTAAAACTGACTTTCTTAGTGTCATCTTTTAAAGATCTTTGTATATACCCTGTTAAATATCATATAAGATTTGACATATTTAGTTCCCCGCTTCTGACCTCATATGATCATGCTAAGATTCATGTCATAAGGACTCTTACTCTACTATGTTCTTCTGCCCTTTTCTGGAGGTTTTTTTCATTATTATCTCACTGCTTTCTGGCTTCTCTCGTGCCTTTTAAGTTAAAGCATACGACAGTCTGAATTTCTTTCCATTGGCATCTTCGTCACTTCATTTTATTTGTGTGCTTAAATCTTTTAAGTGTTATTTTTGTTTTGAGTCTTCTTCTGCTTAGTGCTCTTCTGTCTACCTTATGAGTTAACTATGTAGATTACGACCAATTTCCGCATCTTATCCATCACGATTTGCCTTAGTAAACAGAAACCATTAGTTTTCTCTGCCCAAGTATATTGTGTGAAGCTCCAAAGTGATAGTCCTTATTGCTGCGGACTTATTCCCTTGATATGTCAGGGGATGTCTTCTGATATAATCTTTTTTCCATTTTTGTGGTTGAAATCCGCATCGAGTATTTTGATATTGCTATTTCTCTTATTAGGATTAGTCTTCTGTTCGCCCTTACTGAACTATGTTGCTAGGGCAATTGTTTTGCACTATATGGTAGCACCAAGTCTTCTTTCTCTCTTATTCTTTTAAGATGTATGTTTTCTTTGATCTTGTGCAGGATCGAGCAAGTGAGATATATAAAAGGCTGGAAGATCAGAAGTGTACCAGAGGCAGGAATCTTGATCCCTTGGTAGCTGCTTGTATCTATATTGCATGTCGTCAAGAAGGCAAACCCCGCACTGTAAAAGGTGTGGCAATGTTATCTGATCATATAGATTAACGGTTTAGTCCTCTGTGTGAACTCTAAAACTTTGGGTGTTGATTAGAAATATGCTCAATTGCCAATGGAGCTAGTAAGAAGGAAATTGGCCGAGCAAAAGAATTCATTGTGAAACAATTGAAGGTTGAAATGGGAGAATCAATGGAGATGGGAACAATACACGCTGGCGACTATCTGGTGAGTGAACTAAATACTGTGGGTTGTGCCACTTATCTGATATTTATATGCCTTTATACTATCCTGACATTATCTATTTTTGATCTTCAGAGACGTTTTTGTTCTAACCTTGGTATGAACCATGAAGAAATTAAGGTTGTCCAAGAAACTGTTCAGAAGTCGGAAGAGTTTGACATAAGGTACATAGTTTTGGTTGTGTATGTTTATTTATGTTCTTAATCTGGTGAGTCCATGCCTAGGTCGCAGAATAATCCAGAGGCTGGTAAAGTCATTGGTTTGTCGATGTGCATGAAAACTCTCTGATGAAACCCTTTGATTTTTGCAGTGGCTTGAGTGCTCTTCTTTCATATTGAGTGAACCTTCTGCAAATTTGATTTTGGCAATTACTTTGTTCTGGAACTTTGAGAAAAGTTCTGAATTTTGTAGGAAAAAAAATGATGTTGGATCAGTGGGTATAGTGGGTGAAGAACTTTTGTCAGTTGGTTCAACTTCTTGGGCTTGAATGTGTTCCCCGCTGCACAACCTCCAAGGAAGAAGGTTGGACAAACCATACTGGTTTGATTTTAATGAGAAACATATGAAGTCTAGCTGAAGAAATTTTAGTGGATATTTCTCAACTAGACTTAATTTGCTCTCTCAGGGGTCATTTGGTTTGGGAACAAGATATATTGTGAATTACAATGTGGAGATTGTAGTACATGGAGTATATAATAATGTAGTTATTTTGTGGATATACTTTTATTAGTAGATGGTTGGTTCTTTGGACTAAAAATGAGATATAGCGGGTATAATATAAAAATTTTGTTTCATTTTTAATACTAGATGAGCTTGGATAAACATTCAATTTTGACCCTGGCTCTTTTAAAAACTTTGAGAGAGAGATATATTGGAAAAGGGCAACTGTGTTATTCTGTTATTTTATCCCGAGATTAGGGATCTCGAGATTGTTATTCCCACAGAGTGTGCTACAAAATTAATACCACAGTTGTGGTATATACAATCTTGTGATTGCTTATACAGGAATAAAAAATTCAGCCGAACGCAGGATAAAATAATTCCACATTTTATCCTGGGATTACTTTCCCTTATCCTTGTATGAATGACCCCTCAGAGTTCTAACCAGTCAAACAATTGCTAAAAGGGAACAGAAGCCATGAATTGGGTGTTATCACTGGCCACAGAGTTTATTATGCACAAAAGGTTGGTAGATTAGATCCTTAATAGTTATTCCCCTTTTTGCAGGAGGAGTCCTATATCAATTGCTGCAGCAATAATATACATGATAACTCAACTTACAGATATGAGGAAACCCCTGCGAGGTTTGGACATTTACCTTCCTCTTTGTGCAATCTTGGGCCAAATAGAGTCTATGTTCTATAAATGCATGCATTGCTTAAATAGGAGCTTTTGCATTTGTAGTCTTTCCATCTGCTATTGATTGCAGTGAATTCTTCATGTGGGGTTGCACAGTTGCTTTTAATCTTGGGTGGCTATGCTAGTTTGCATATATGGTTTGACAGATTGCGTATGCAGATATCTCAATTGCAACCACAGTTGCAGAAGGGACTATCAAGAATGCGTACAAGGATCTTTATCCTCATGCTTCCAAAATAATACCAGAATGGTATGTCAAGGATAAGGACCTTAAGAACCTGTGCAGTCCAAAGGCATAAGAGAAACCTAGTTGTTGAGCTATAGGCATCTGCTATAGGGTCTCTGTAAGAAGGCAAATAGAGAAAACATTATATGTCCGAGTTTAGCCGTGGAAGTTGGCAATCCTGTTTTCTGGATTCTAATACAGATGCATTTTAGTCATGTAGGTCCTGGGTAATCTAAATTTTTGTTTCCATTTCCCCCCTCAGCACAGATAGGCAGTTTGATTTTTAAATGTTATTGAGCGATCACAGATTTCATAGGCCATCATTGTCCAATTTTTTATGGCTATACAATTATACATTGTCACGTGAAAGGTTCTCTTCTTCCCTAAGATCCATTTATGTGGTAAGATACTTTACTTTTCAAAATAATGTTTGCTTTTCTTCTATTCATGTTTTGAAATATCTTCGTTTGTTCAGACTATAGTTGCCAATGACCATTTTTAAGCAGCAGGTAACTCACTAATTAGATTACAATTTCTCGTTTTCTCCTTAGTTCAATGCATTTGAAAGGGGAATGGTCATAACAAAACGTCAGGTTCAGCCTTCAGTTGCCCCATGATTTTTCATTGCTGTTACAAACTAGAGCCACATATATGCATTTGGATATACCTGTCAGACTCTAAATCTTTGCTGTGCTTCTCGGATGGCGTCCCTAGAAACGTTCTAAGTTTCTAATATAGTCGAGTAAAAGCTGATGGTAAGACGAACATATAAGCAGACTAAAAACACTCATCATATGGATTGAATTGATCCTTGTTAAGGGAAGAACGAATTAACTTGAGACTGCTGAAGAAGGACGGTCTCAGTGTAGTTTGGCCTTATGGAAGAAGGTAAGAACACACTAATTCTAGTGGATGGAGACAACAGAGAGCGTGCGAGCTTTGTTTCCAAGGAAGAGAATATATCAAGAAGAGATTGATACGACGTGTTTCAAAACAAAAAATAACTAAGAAATTGTTATGACCCAAATTTTCCCTCCGTGAATTGTCGTAAAGCCTAACATTTGTGGAAATAAAAAGATAATTTAAATAAGCATTTGAGATGCTGCTCGGCATATATAATAATCAACTCTCGAAATATACACAACTCTCCCAAGACCCGGAACGCCGTAAATCACAAGCTTCTAAGAATTTCTAATTGTTCTATACATCAGTGTTTAAAGAAATAAGGGAAGAATCGGCATAAGGAGTTAGAGGGGGACTCTGAAGTCTGCGACGCGGACAGATGTACGTTGAAGTCTCCTAAACAGTAGCAACCATGTAACTAAACTCGAGGCTGGTAGGAGGTACCTGGATCTGCACACGAAAAACATGTGCAGAAGTGCCATGAGTACACCGTAACGGTACCCAGTAAGTGTCAAGCCTAACCTCGATCGAGTAGTGACGAGGTCAGGTCAAGGCCCTACTCGTATAAATATATAAAGTAAGACAGAACAAAAATATCGCAGTAAAATAAAGATTGGAATTTAAACGGAAGGAAATCACAGAAAGGATAATAGTACAGTACACAAATAATAACAAGGGATCTCCCGAGATACCGTCTCGTAGTCCCAAAATAAATATGCAGCTCAAACAATGAAATTAGCAGTTACAGCAGTGATCCTACAGTTTAGACCATGTACAAGTCAAGAGAAAAGCAAAAAAAATTCACTAGGCTTGCTGCACAGAGTTCAGATAAGCATTTAAGACACGTAGATATGCTATTCTAAGCTAAACAAGATAATTACACATGCTGATAGAACTCAAATAAGAAGAAACATGTTATTACTCAGTAAAAATCGAATTATACAACAAATAGCCCAGGTACACACTCGTCACCTCACGTACACGGCGCTCACATATCAAAACAGTACCAAATCCTAAGGGAAGTTCCCCCACGCAAGGTTAGGCAAGCCACTTACCTCGAACCAAGATCAAATCAATCCGTAACAATGTTTTTTCCACGAATATCCGACTCTGAATGGCTGAAATCTAGCCAAAATAATTACATAACATAAATATAACTACAAGAAACTAATCTAGCTAATGGAAGCTAAAGCAAGAAATTGAAAAATCGCCCTAAAAAGTCTCCCCGGGCCCACACCTCGGAATCGGATAAAAATTATAAAAAATATAAACACCCATTCACCCACGAATTCACTCGTACCAAAATTATCCAAATCCGACGTCAAAATTCCAATCAAAACCTAAAATCTTAGTTGAAGATCTTTTTCCCATTTTTTCTAATTTTTCACCCCAAATCCGAAATTAAATGATAAAATTAATGATAGATTAGTCGGATATAACCAAAATCAAGTGTAGAATCATTACCCAATTGATATCTCTGAAAATTCCTCAAAATCTCGTCCAAGTCCAAGCTCCCAAACTTAGTTTTGATAAAAATGACCAAATCCTCATTTTTGAAACTTTATAATCTGCCCAGGTAATTCCTTCTTCGCGAACGCGGCCACATCCTCGCGTTTGCGAAGCAAAATCTACTTCAGTCCTAAAAACACTCATTACGAACGCGACATACAGTCGCGAACGCTAAGCTCACATTGCCTGACCCTACGCGAACGCGGGACACTCATCGCGAACGCGTAGGCTATTTACTTGGAACTCCATCTGACCATTCCTCTATGCGAACGCGAGGTCCATATCGCGAACATGTAGCCTTAATGTTCCATATCTTCGTGAATGCGGGAACTATATCGCGAACGCGAAGAACAAACCCAGCTGGCCTCCCAGATGCCCTAGAACGCGAGATCTCTCTCGCGAACGCGATGAAGAAATGTCTGCAACAAAAATACCAGAAAATCTGCTATCTTCCAAAGTCCAAAAATGATCTGTTAAGCATCCGGAACTCACCCGAGGCCCCCGGGACTTCTTATTCGAGCCCTCAAAACACGTCAAATAACGCTAAAATCACGAATCACCTTCCAATTCAAACTTAAAAAACTTGAAACTTTAAATTTCTACAACCGATGCCGAAACCTATCAAACCACGTCTGATTGACCCCAAATTTTGCACACAAGTCATATTCAACATTACGGACCCACTCCAACTTTCGGAATCGGATTTCAACCCCGATATAAAAAACTCCATTACCGGTCCAAAATCTCTAAAAATTTGACTTTCGTCATTTCAAGCCTAAATCAGCTACAGACCTCCAAAACATAATCTGTACACGCCCCTAAGTCCAAAATCACCCAACGGAGCTAACTGAACCGACGAAATTCCATTCTGGAGTCGTCTTTACACAGTCCCGACTACGGTCCAAATCCTAAGACTTAAGCCTCTATTTAGGGACTAAGTGTCCCAAAACACTCCAAAAACCAAAACAAAACCTCCCGGCACGTCACATAAGCTGAAACAGATACGAGGAAAGCAGTAAATGAGGGGGCTATAACTCTCAAAATAATCGGTCGGATCGTTACAGAAATGATCTCTTAAGATCTTCTAAGTTATAATAGAAGAAAATGACATTTTTTGGTTATATTCACTACAGTTTTTCTCATTTCATATGAAAAAATCATAAAACTAAATAATATTTTGTGATGGATCATAAAATTGATCTCCAAAATAATTGTATTGGATATAAGGTGTACATAGATTGGGTTGGTTAGAATTTTTCAATTACCAAACCAAATCAATAGTGTCGGATTTTTAAATTTATAAATCAAACCAAATCAACAAAGTCGGGTTTTTCAATCTTGATTTTTTTCGGATTTTTCGGGTTTTGTATTTTTTTCTAGTAAAGTCTTCATAGGACAAATATGTAACTTGTGCTCCAAATATTTCTTTAATCCTAGTAAGATACAACTATATAATATATTTTCCAAGAAAACAATACAATTATATGAGATAAGTCATAGCATTATACTAAAATATTTAATAAAAAATATAATAAAATTACATAAAAACAAATACTGCTAATTAATAAGCCATAATAAAAATTAACATAATCTAAAAATACTATATATGTCATGCTAAAACAAGTATAGCTAATAAGTAATATTAATTATATAACTAAGCACTAAAGAAAAAGATAAACTAAGTTATATATTTTCATTATAAACCAATGTAAAACTAAAAAATAGATATCCAACACTATCGTTATTCCCAGTGTCAAATTGAATTTCTTTTGTTAGTACTAATATTAATTTGAACTTTGTTTGAGTTACTACATTTATAGTCTATAAAATTTATTTACCATTCAAGAATGTTAAGTCCAAACTTGAAAATACGTTAAAAGATAAATTGTGAAAAAGTTTAAGAAATATTTATATGTATAAAATATTTTAAAAATTGTATAAATGTACTATCGGGTTGGTTTGATTTCGTTTTGACTTTTTTAGTTAAAACCAAACCAAACCAATTATAGTCGGGGGGTTTTCCCCAATACCAAACTAAATCAAATCAAATCACAATCGATTTTTTTCTCCAAATTTAACTTGAATTATCGATTTGGTATGGTTTATCGGTTTTCTTTGTACACCTCTAACATTGGAGCAATCTTAGTTACACGTTCTTTGGACAACCCAAAATACTTGTATAACATGCTCATACACATACTCTATATCTTTTAGTCCGCTTATTTTCGTTAAAAGATAAATAATAATGGTTTAGGAGTATATAATTAGATAGTAGTCTTTCACCTAGACAAACATAATAATAGCTCTTTTTTGTAAATACAAATAGAAAAAACATATATTAACACCAATGCCGAATAGCGTCTTTGTCATCTCTGTGAGGCAAGATTAACAGTATCTTATCCATTTCCCTTATGACCTTTTTATATGATCAAAGACTTCTCAACTATAATATCTTATCCATTTGCTTGCGTCCTTTGGCATATATCACATTAATGGCAATTGCATGCACACTAGGCAAGCCCATTCCTCTTTTTGTCCTTCAATTTCACTTTTCTTTTCCTTTCCATACAATCATTCTTTTCTTGGCTTCCCATCCTTTGTCTTGTTTATATTGATGAAAAGAAACTACTGCTCATTTTCATTATATAAATAAAACTAGGGAGAGCACAAAAAGGAGGAAGCAGGAAAATGACTTATCAAAAACTACCATCCTTTTATTTTTAATAATTTTTAAAAGTAAAGGGTATTTGGTCCCTTGTGATTTCATCTTTTTTCTTTTTTATTTTCCAGGAAGCTGGAAAATGACTTATCAAAATAAGAAAAAAGTTAGTAAGTTACTGCTAGAAAAGTGGCAGGAATTGAGCTTCACCAAATAGGATATTTAAGAAAGTGTCCAATTGCATAAATCAGTTGACATTTCAAATATGTTTCATTTCTCCGATGTAAAGTATCTCATAGCCAGGATATAAAATTTGTG